CCCCTGGGCCCCATCCCAGGAATTCTGCTTGTCCCTCTGGCTTCACACCCTCCGGGGGCACCTTCCCTAGACCACGCCTCCCGTGCTGTCCCTGCAGACCTGTCACCGAGGGAGGGCAGAGCAGTTTGCAAGTCTCTCCTTGACTAGGATTTGTAGCAGTAATCCCCAGCCGCAGAGAAAACAGAATCCCAGCAATGACCTTCAGTCTGACTTCCCTTCCATCCGAGGTGCAGCCTTCGGGGTTTGTTGGTGCTGTGGTCTGGGCTTCAACCATTCCCAGCTGCCAGTGTGCCCAACACCCTGTGTGCAAGTCCCTTGGACTCACCAGCCTTACAGGAAACTCGCCTGGATGATAACTGACCTCTCTCTCGGCCAGGACACAGGAAGAGGCTCGGGCAGGCTGCCCGCTCCCTGTGGCGGTGGGGCACGGGGGAGCCGTGTGCTGGCGTCACACGCGTGGGGACTGCAGCTCCAGGCGAGATTCTCTCCCACCAGCACCTCCCGACTTCCCACCCAGGCTCTTATATTTCACATACAATACTTCAGACACACTTCACCGGGTGGCACTGCTATGATTTAAGAAGGAAACATTTAATGAGCACCTGCTGTATGCCAAGCTCTAGACCAGCGGTTCTCAACCTTCCTAATGCCGCGACCCTTTAATACAGTTCCTCATGTGGTGGTGACCCCCAACCATAAAATTATTTTCGTTGCTACTTCATAACTGTAATGTTGCCACTGTTATGAATCGTAATGTAAATATCTGATATGCAGGATATATTTTCATTGTTACAAATTGAACATAATTAAAGCATAGTGATTAATCACAAAAACAATATGTAATTATATATGTGTTTTCCGGTGGTCTTAGGCGACCCCTGTGAAAGGGTCGTTCGACCCCCAAAGGGGTCGCGACCCACAGGTTGAGAACCGCTGCTCTAGACAGAGCCAGGAGGCGACCTCCAGGATTATTCCAGTGTCTTTAACCGTTGAGCAAGCAAGGGCCCAGGGCAAGTGACTTACCCACGGTCGCCGGCCAGCTAACAGCAGAGCCAAAGCCACGGCCTCGACTCCCTGACTGCCCGTCCCCCGCTCTCCCCTCCACGCCCAAGGACACACCTTGAGGTAGGTGCTCAGGACCCAAAGGCCGGAGAAAGGGAACCAACCAGGAAATGTGAGCTTCCGGGGCTGAATCCATGTACTTTGAGTGAAGAAGACAAGCTGGCCAGCATCTCAGTACATGTGCTCTACGAATGCCACAGTCCCCCCGAGCACTCCTGTGTCACAGCTTATAAAGGGTGTCCCAAAATTCACGCAAGAAGTAATTTTGATAGAAAACACAGGTTTATAATTAAAAATTGTAAATTTTTTATTGATTCATAAAGTATACAGTATAGGGTTATGTATGGAATAGCATATCAGGTAAATGGCCTCCACGGCTTTGCTGGCACATACGCACTCTTTTGTTGAAATTTTCCATGACCGTTTTGCATAAATGTGGCTGAATTCCGATGAGGCTCATTTTCATCTTAATGGCTTGGTTAATCGACAAAATTGTCACATTTGGGGTTCAGAAAATCCACGAGTGATTGTTGAGAAACAAATGCATCTACAGCGTGTCACTGTTTGGTGCGGATTTTGGGCTGGAGGCATCATCAGACCATTCTTCTTCGAAAATGCGGCTGCTCAGGCAATAACAAGAGTGCGTATGTGCCAGCAAAGCCGTGGAGGCCATTTACCTGATATGCTATTCCATACATAACCCTATACTGTATACTTTATGAATCAATAAAAAACTTACAATTTTTAATTATAAACCTGTGTTTTCTACCAAAATTACTTCTTGCGTGAATTTTGGGACACCCTTTATAGCCGACACCCTCCTCCCACCATAGCCAAACGTTAGGCTGGACCATAGGAAGTTGCCGCCTTTATAGACAACATGTCAGAACATCAGCAAGTCCATAGGTCCCCCCAGCACAGCCTGGCATCACAGCGAGAAGTGCTGCACAGCGACCACCCCCGGGGGGACAGGACACTGGCTTCCAGGCCCCTTGGGCGCCGACCCGGGGCGGGGGCCACTCACTCTTTGACTTCTTTGGAGGAGAAGTCCAGGTAGCGGTTGCTGATCCACTGAATCTCAAACCAGTCCCGGAAGCCGTTGTTGCCGCAGCATCTGAACTCGGTCTGCAGCAGGTCGATGGTCTTCTTCATGAAGCAGCGGCCCGGCGTGTCCGTGTCGCGGTAGAACCGCAGGCCCTGCCTGAGCCCCAGGGCCAGCGCGCTCTCCAGGGAGCCGCGCAGGAGGAGGCAGCAGAGCGCCGCCAGCAGGAGGGCTGCCTGGAGGAGGACGCAGGCGGCCAGGTACGGCCTCAGCCAGGGCTTCCACTTGGCGTACTTGGCCGGGTCCAGGGCGTCGTAGCAGACCTTGCCGGCCAGAGCGTGGACGACACAGGACAGCACCCCCACCCCGATCAAGGAGTTGGGCACCAGGTGGCTCTCCGAGTTGCCCATCACGTCGCTCCTCTTCCGGAGCTCGATCTTCAGGAAGAGCCCCAGGCCGAAGACCACGGTGCCGGCCAGCACCGCGAGCCAGTTCAGGAGCCAGAGCCCCTGGGCCAGCTTGACCCGCCTCTTCTGGTCAAAGCTGACTTTCAGCAGCGCCATGGTGCAAGGTGCGGTCCAGGCAGCCTCCCGCGCGCAGCTCCCACTCGTGACCTTAGCGCGCCCAGGGCCGGAGACTCAGGGCCTCGGGAAGGGCGCTGCTCTGGGGGCTGCCCATGGTGACGCCCCCTCACCCGGGACCCCCTCAGCTCAGTCCCAGCTCATGAAGGGGCCAGTCCTCCGGCCGTTTCTGCAGCTCCTTCCCAGCCAGGAAGGGGCAGCCTGAAGGTGCAGATTAGAAGTGGGAGCCACAAGACATCTTGCTAATCTCTTTAGCCAGGTTCATCCCATTAGATAAAGCCATGCCCGCTTCAAAACCTGCCCAGAAGGCGCCTCCATGGACACCCTGGAGCAGAACCCTGGGCTCAGCTTGGAGAGTCAGGAGCAAAAGGACAAGGCTGGCCAGAGCAATGGGCTCCAGCTGAGGTCGG